GCCAATAGTTTAATAAAATACAAAGCTTATATCTATCCAATACAAAACAAATTGATCTGTGCCATATGGGCTAACAGGAGCAGTAGCTGCACTGTATTCAGATTCGGCAGTAGTTATTTCTGGCAGCTGCCATTAACATTAAACTACCAATATGATTTGTAAGGCATGTGCATTTCCAGAACTATTTATAGTTTCAAATACACCATTAAGTATATCTAAAGCCCAAACTTTTTTTTTTAGGATAGCGTAGGACAGAGGCAGCAAACGTTTCAGCACAGCTGGAAAGCTGGGAGTTTGCCTAACCCTGGGGTAGGAGATGCTTAACACACTTTTTTGCCATCTGTTTCTAACTGGGGAGATTGCCATTCACTTCCTGTCCAGTAAACTCAACAGGAAATCTGAGTTAGGAAAATCCCCTCAGACAGTTGTCCCCCTAACATATATTGGAAGGTTTCCTCTCCTTCCTGTTCTGGTGAAAACATTTTGGATTCTCCCTGACAATGGTCAGCAGGACAAATGCAGAGGGAGAATCTCCCGAGCAGGGACACAAGCAACAATAAAAATCTGATCTTCTTAACCTTCCACACTATTAAAAAACAAAAGTTGAAGCTTTAGATATTCTTTAACCATATTAGCATGTGTAAAGCAAGGAATGAGTCTCATGACACAGGGAATGGATACTGCTAATTTTCACTAATATTTGAAATGTATCAGCTTGCCAAAAGCAGTGCAAATTATGGATTATTTATGCCAGCTTGGATATTTTCATCAAATTTTAGTCATGCAATCAAAGGCTTCATCTCAAAATGCTAGATCATAGACACCGAGCACAAACTTATTCTAGGATTTTCATTCTCATGTTCAATGATTCATAACAACAAATAAGAAAATAAAAAGGTATTTTGACACCTACTGCTTTACCAGCTCCAACGGAACACAAAATGGAGGAATCAGGGGAGAATGCACAGCAATACACCCAGTTTTGGTGTCCCCTTAACACTTTCATCATGTTGCCTGCAGAAAATAAAGAGAAAAATATACCTTAACCTTTAACTAAAATAAACATATGGCTAACAATAAAGGCCAACTAATATGTCAGTTATGGGTGGGAAGCAGTGAGATTAGCAGTTTTATCACAGAGAGAAAAAAAAGTGTAAGTCAAGTAAAAACACATGGGTTTGGATAGACTGGGAAAGGATTAGAACCCCTGTTGGATTTTACCACTATCCAGGGCTCCCCTTACCTCCTATTGATAAAATATCAGGACAGTTAATCGCTCTAAAAATGAGCCCCAGAGAGGAGTAAAACGAGAAAGAGGTTATAACCCTTCCCCACACCGTTCAAAAAACATGTTTTTTGCTTGATATACACATAAATTGATCTATTTGCCCCTTCCATAAGGTCTTAATGAATGGGTCAAGGTAGCCATAGACAGAGGGAGATTGGATGTGCATAGATGATCCAACCATCCTCAGGCAGAACCAGGGCTAGACAAATCCCAGGAGCCAGGTATCCAATTGCTCATTAAAAATCCCAGCTGGTGCCTAAATTTTAAAGTCATCTAGTTATTAATGGAGCTGGCTCCTAAAAAAAAACCCAACTGGCTCCTGGATTGGACAGACTGGCTCCTGGATTCCATAATGATTTGTCCACCCCTGCATAGAACGCTCCATAGGCTTGCCAAACAGCTCAGCTATTTCAGTGAGGAAGGAAGGAAGAGGAGCTGTTGATACCAGCTTAACAGCAGGGGAACAGTGGTAATTAGGGCAGGCTTTTAAAGGGACCAGCAATAGGCATGAGACTGAAAACAGGCAGTTATTTCATGCTCATGAGCACAGATGGTATTGACATGAAGTACCAAGTATTTTCTTGCTGCTGATGGCTGAACAGAGCAGTGGGGGAGCGAAGGAAAGGAAAGTCCATTTTGCCAGGTAGGGGGCATTAAAGCAAATCTGCTCTGCAATGTATGGGCAAAGCACAGATTTGCATTGAAACAGGCAGTAAATATTCACCTTTTCTCCACTAACCCATCGTTCTTTTCAATATCAGTAGCCAAAATGTATTTTGGCTATGGAAAAAATCTGTGACTCATCAATGCGACAGTGCTGGGCCATTCAACGCTGTCACATAGGAGTCCATGGCCATGTTGAGCAATGTCTACAGTGACTTGTTGCTTTTTTTCCATTCCTAATGACAGAACAGAATGGAAGGAAAGTATATGCATCTGTGAAAGTCTGAATTAAAGTAAACATGTTGCTTTCCACTGCATTGAAAACATCGAAGCTCATACGCAAAAAGATGTGCGCAGTCAAACCTGTAATTTTGTTCAGCCAATTTTATGATTTACACAAGTCTGTCACATTACCCAACCAGAAAGAGCCCAATCACTGCTATTTTATGGTTCCATGTTGCTACTTATTGGACCCCTTTTTCATTCCAACTTGACAGAGATAAGGTTTCTGATTTATTGAATAGTGAGCAGCCTGGAAACAGGCAGGCAAGATAGGAAGCTCCATTGCTGGAGAATGGAATACGCATTACCAGCTGGCTGTGCACTGTGGCAGATGTGTGTAAAGTACAAGATTAACTGAACTACAACTCCTTCAGCAGGTGAAAGAATACAAGAAGTTTACATACTACAGGCTTAATACAAAAAGTTATACCACTAGGATAAGGATCTTTCATTTAGCCATGGAGCTATCATTTTCATATTTTACTCAACTCAGCTAAAAATAAATTCCTTTCCATGGTGTTAAAGGAGAACTATGGGGTCAATGTTTTTCCCCATAGTTCTCCTTGGGGTAACGGGAGGACATAAACTAGCATCCTCCCGTTACCCTAAGCTCAGTATACCGCGAGCTACAGCTCGCGGTATACTGAGACGCCGCACCTGGAGCGGATCCCGACTTAGAACACTCATGTCATAGTTCTCCTTCAAACTTTATGAATTGAGCCCATTATGTGTTTTTACCCATTTGTCTCAGTAAGAAAAACTGAGTGAGAAGTGCCTGCATAGCAAAAATTCAGAAATTTTTGATTTCTTGATAAAAGAAAATAAAAATTGAATACACTCTGGATGCCTGAACATTTGAATGGACTTTATATTTGGAATAAGTGTATGCAGTATAACCCCAATTTTAATATTAACACAAGACATTACCTATCACTATCATCGGGAAGGGCCTGTTAGCTTGCATAAAATTTCACAGGAAAATTATGTATTTAAGACTAACATTTAGGGCCTCACTTTAAGACATTTAAAGTTAACGCAACATTTATAAATTCTAGTCTGGAGCACAGACTTCGCAAGCATTTACAAAGCAATTAAGCTTTAAATCAACTTTCTTAAAGCCTTTAAACCACCTATTTTTTTGGCAGGAAGTGGAACAAAAGTTGGAAACCTACCATCATCTTTCAGGTCCCACACCCTGAGTGTTTTGTCTCTGGAAGCAGAAACAAGTATAAGGCTGCCATCTGGGGCAAATGTCAAATCTCTTACAATTTCAGTATGATCCATCAGATTAAGGAGGAGCTTCCCTGAGGAAAAGAAAGGAGAACACCTTTCACAATGACATATGACAGCAACAATCTGCACGTACTTATTTCTACTAGACATTTTTAACAACATAGAAATCAATACCATGTAAACAGTTTGTGGCATTGTCAAAACACAAAAACAATATCCGATTTGTGCAATAAGCAGGTAGCGCAAAAGCTAACTGAAATCTGGTTGCCATCGTTTGGGCACGCAATCATTATTGTAATCAAAAGAAATTAGAGATTAGGTCATACTTGGAGCATAGTTTTATATTTCTAAAAGTTTTAGATTAGAAATGTGCAGGAGACATTCATTTCCATCCTAGAAATAAAAAAGCACAATGCTTCCATGTAAAGCTGGCCATACACTAATATTTTCTTTGTTAAACCTGTAGGTCAAACAAAGAAAAGCATAACAATTCCGCCATTAATGCTTCCAAGTGTTGATTGAGGAATCTCCTGCTGTTTGCATTGAATTCTAACAGCGGTGGCCGTTTGCTGTGAGGATACCCGAACAGAGCCAGCAGCTTATTGGCTGCCCGCTGCTTGTTCAAAGATTTCCCAACCAGCTCCTTCATTAAGAACCAGACGAAATTCCTATAGTGTATGGCCAGCTTAAGTCTGCTGTAAGCTAAAGTACACAGTGGGGGGCAGGAGGCTCTCGTCGCACTCCACTAAACATACCTACACACATTACAGAACATTTACGAGAAATAGACCGGCTAGGACAGATTTTTCCAGCTGACAGCTAATGTTTTTTTACAACCATGATGGATCAGTACCTACAAGACTCCTCATTCCCTTTCCAAACATGCAAATTTACCCATGAATTGAATACTTTGTGCACAGAAACTGAGCAGAACCAGATTTTTTTTTTTTTAACATATACACAGTTTTACAAATGAGCCACCCACTGAAGGCGTTTCAGACGGTTTAGCACAGTGTATGGCCAATTTTAGTCACGGATACTGGTCAAAACACCCCATTTGTCTGCTGACTAGACAAGGAAGAAGCAGCACACTGATACGATCATCCCTCTACTCACTCCCCCCTCTGAGCACATGTGCATGCAGCACAGCTTTATTGGCCGCTAATCGTGACCATCTCTGAAGTGAGCAATCTAGGCAGAGATTACAGAAGGTAGATATGAGGACAAAAATCAAGGTAATGACATGGGACTAAATTAGTTTTCAATCAACATGTGACAAAGGTAATGGTTTTCCCAATACTGACTAACACACAAATAAATACAAAATGCGGCATAACAATTGTAGACTAAATACAAAAGCTTTCAGCCACTTAGGTAGTCAAACATTCAAGTAATCCAAAGCTCAAAGTGCATTGACTACTATTTACTTTCCGATGCCTCTAGGTTATCAGGCTGATTAAATTGCAAACAGTACGCACAAAAGTGTATCACGAAATCATTAAATACAATGAAACTACAATGCAAACAAAATCACTTATCAAAGTTACTTTGTATTTCACCTTAAAATACAATGAAAAGAATCCCCTTGCAATTTAGGAGGTTCTTCCCATTTTTCAGATACCAACAATGTTCTGCAAGGTTTTATGGGACGTGCTTAGTCTGTCACATTATGTACTGTATGTCCCCTGGTATCACTTTCACCATTCTAGATTTACTTAAAGAGGAAGCATTACCAGCCCATCTGACTAAACAAATGATAGCTGCTGTTTGTCATGCTGGTCCACTAGCTTCAATACCTTTAAGTCACTTAGCACTGCTTTGACTTTTCTTGCTGCATGCTTTTTCCAGGCCAGTGACTCAGAAGCCACTAGAGCCAGAGACAACCACACAACTGAAAATTTAAAGAACAACTATGGGGTAAGTGTTTTCCCCCATAGTTCTTCTAAGGGTCACGGGAGGACATAAACTAGCATCCTCCCGTGACCAAAAGCTCAGTCTATCGCGAGCTACAGCTGTCGAGTGAGTTACTGTCGAGATCCACCCAGCTGCGTGATTGACAGCTGCCTATCTAGAATCAGAGCCAGCTGTACCCGCCCCCTCCCCCGTCTGTTCCACCAGTCAGCGCTGGAGGATCAGGGAGAGGGGAATCCCCGCAGGGAGCTGTGACTGACAGTCACGGCTCTCTGCAGGGACCGAGTCGAGAAGTGAGCAAGCGACGGTATGTGTTCGCTCACTTACCGATCTATTAAGCCGACTTGTGACAGTTTCATTGTCACAGGTCGGCTCGGACTATGAGGTTGAGTGAAAATCACCCACCTCATAGTTATCCTTTGAGAAGCAGCTACACATTTCTCTCTACACTGCCAAGAGCAAACACTACAGCCAGAGGTGTTTACAGAGCTCTCATCGTCCCTGTATAAGTGACCTCATATCCGGATAGATTCCTTACAATATAAAAATCACATAGGAAAAGAGAAAAAGCACGAGGAAACTGGAGAGGAGAATGGAGAGAAGAGTTACACAAAGGACAGCAGTGTTATTATGACTTTTCATTATGTGTATATGGATAATATACAATGATATGCTACAACTGTCTCTCCCCAGGCTCCTTGAAGCTTTCCATTTACCTTTGACATCATACCAACACTCACTGCCAGAATTAACACTATGCAATATTAATTCCTAAAAAGTACCAACTACCACATTGCAGTGAATGAAAAAGAAATAAAAAGGATACTTAGATTAAAGTAGAACTTCATTTTTTTGTCAGGTTTTATTGCCATTGTCTACCTTCTTGGGGATGAAGACTATGAAAATGGTTTCATCAGGAGGGAAAAGCTCTAACAACAACAAAACGGCAAGGACACCTACAGCAACCTGAGAAGTGCTCTATTAAACACTTCAATTTTGCCTGGAGTTGCATGTTAAGCATAGCTGGGGATCTTTAAGTGACTGAACAAGATGACGTAATGGTCACAAGAACCAGCTACTCATGAGCATTCCTGTGGCAAGTGAGTCACAAAAAACTCCTGAATTCTCCTAAAACATAACTGCACACAGGCATATGGTGTTACATGATCCACTTTTCTTGTTAGCCAAGTCTAAGAGAGCAACAATTTTGCTTGACTTATCTTAGAAGTAAATCCAAATAGAATAATAAGAGCCATATGTTTTATAACAGAAGGGAGTGAACAGCTAAAATACACTGTATTGAAGAATGTGCCCCTCAGGTCCTAGTTAAAAGACTGTGAAACATTGTAAAGCGTCTTTCACCAACTGCTAGATGAAAGGAAGTTTTGACTGCAGTCATACATACATCAGCAAAGAGTTTAATTACTGAACATTCAGTATATAACCACATAGAAAAAACACACGAAGTGTACGAGGAACTCAATGTACCTGTATAAACATCCCAGATCTTGATGCGCCCATTGCCCAGCCCTGTGGCAAGGAGAAGTTGGTCCTGCCCAAATTTGAAGCGGTGCCATTCTATATTCACACAACGACTCTGCTTTTCTGGCACTGAGGATCCAAAAGCCAGGCTCCACACGATATCCCCACAGTCTATGGTATGCTCCTGTGGTTTGTTTCTCTGTGCCACATCACTGTTCTGTCTTGACAACCTTGCATTCGTCAAGTTAACACTATTTTTTGTACTGACAGCAGCACTAGAAAAGTAAAAACACAGTTAAATTAAAACAACGCTAAAAAAAGGTGATACATTATCTACATGAATCCGATTTTTGCCCCCAACTGCACCACGTAACACAACAGGAAGCAATCAATATATTTATCTTATGACTTTGGGAACCACTTTTATTCTTATATATGCACCTACAGGCCAACAGAACTACCAGTTTGGCATAACGTAGCAAAAAAGTTTTATGGAAGTGTATCTACTGTATGAAAACAAACCTACATCAGCCTAACAAAACTGTTTTTGGGCAGAATAGTAAATGGTAAGAACATCTCGTGTTTTATTTCTGTTTGAGTTCTTGTTGGGGAGTCATCCCCTCATTTTCTGTCCCAGTGACAGGAAATGAAAAGCTACAACAGGAACAAAGACAGAAAAAAAAAAGAAAAAAGCTATTAGTGGTTATAGCCTTCCCCTCAAAACTTTATGGCTGCTGGTCTGCTTCTTAAGAGATTTTTTTCTTCACGTTTTATCTATGAGATCAGGACAGGAACTGGGGCAAAAAGTCCCCAAGGTGCTCAAGGAGAGTTTAAAAGTGACAAAATGGAATGCTTCTCCGCTCTATCCAAAACTGAAAAGTTACGTTTTGGATCGATATACACCTTCAAGAATAATTACAACTACAGAAGAAGGAAAAAAGTATCCTGTGAAAACAGAAAAATCAGTAAAATGACTGCCACATGTATGCTTCCCATTGAGGAACCTATTACAAGTATTCTGTCAACACAGCCACGTATACCATTTCCCTGTCACCATAATGTACAGCTTTGTATGAGGTGGCACTGACAACTGTCAAATGAAAGCTTTCTTTTTCACACTCCCTTAAGCTACCCATTCACATAGGTCAATAAAAGAAAAAGTCTACTTCAATTTTAACATTCACAGGGTTAGTCACAAAAGGGTGTAGAGATTGGAGAATGCAGGAGAAGTAAACAAGGCCAAAATAGCAGATTCAGCTCACTTTCCTGTCCTACATAGTTCACTTCTCCTGCCTTCTAACTCTTCACCCTTTTGTGAATAACCCTGTCAGGCATTCAAGAAAGATAGTTTACATGAGAGATCAATCTTTAGAAATGCAATTTTTCTGTCACTGTATTAGAGGGAAAAACAATTTTGTATCTTTTTCCCCTTAATTGGAATTAATCAAATTATTGTACACAATGTGCAATGCTTGTTACAGGTACCATTGCTTCAATATCATCTGCCACAGTTGTATGCATTATATGGAAATACAATTTTTTTTTCCAGAAAAAAGTTAGTTACATAGTATTTGAGGTTGAATAAAGACATATGTCAATCAAGTCCAACCTATTAAGTTTATTCCCCATTTATAAATTGACCGCCTCCAACCAATTAGCCATGATTTAGGCCATTGTTGTCTTATGCCTATAGGTAGCTGACAAACAGCCAAGAGCTGGTTAACTTTTTATGAAATGACCATCAGTTTCAGCACAATCAGGCATTAAACGAATAGCAACGTCACAATCATTTACTATCCCAGCTCTTGTAAATAAACGATACTAAGTGATTGGCAGCATTTTTACGTCACCATTCATGGCCCATTTATACATTAAACCAGGAGGTGGACAAATTAATATGGAATTCAGGAGCCAGTAGGATTATTTTTTTAGGAACCAGCTCCATTGACAACAACTGAAAAAACCTCAAATGTTAGGCGTTAGCTGTCATTTGTAAGGTGCATTAGCTACCTGGCCGCTGAGATTTGTCCAGCCCTGTATTCAAGAATAAAGCTGGCTATACACTAATATTTTCTTTCAACCCGCGGGCTGAATGAAGAAAATATTACAGATTCCTCCATCAACACTTGAGCATTGACCGGGGACTCTTCCACTGTTTGCGTTGTAGTCTGGCTGCGGTCGCCAGCCTCTGTCAGCATACCTAAACAGAGGCGGCAGCTCATTGGTTTACAGCTCTGTTCAATCAAAGATTTTTCTGACCAGCTTCTTCAATCAGCTGATTGAAGGATGCCAGCCAATAGTGTGCCAGCAGCGGCATCCACTGTGCAAATTTTAGCCAGTTCATGAAGACCTGGATGAAATTTGCATAGTGTATGGCCAGCTTAAGTGAACTGTGAAGCAAAGTGCAATTATCCTTCCGTTCACCTGTTTACATCCAGCAACGCAAGTCCTGGCCACACCTGTGCATTAGCGCCCCATAGGCTGGAGACGAAGGGAGATGGCCCCATAGAAGTCTATAGAGCTGTAATGTGCACGTGTGGCCAAGAGAGTAAAACTTGTGATGCTGGATGTAAACAAATAGTTGAACTGCAACCATCAGATCGAGGCAAGTATGCCACTGAGAAGGGGTACGGTGTGTTAGGCTAGGGGGGGGGGGGGGGGGACAAAAAGGATAAATGCACTTTATCTGAAAGTGTGCTTATACTTTCATGTATAAAATGGGCCATGAATAAATGGAAAGGGGTTAAAAAAAATACATGCACCCTCCCTTTAAGACAGGGTTGGACAAATGAATATGGAATTCAGGAGCCAGCAGGATTTTGTTTTCGGAGCCAGCTCCACTGGCAGCAACCTGAGAAAGATTGAGTTGTCAGCTGTACATTCTTAGCAGCATTGGCTACCCGGCTACTGGGATTTTTCCAGCTCTGCTTTAAGATATACAAAAGTAACTACATGCGTACAAATTCTGCATTCAAAACCAGAAAAAAAAACTTACAAATTCTTAAGGCACTGAGTCCAAGGAACCAGTTTCACAATACGATGACCCTGAGACCAAGCGAAATAGGAACCATCTGGAGCAAAAGCCACTGTCCAGTTTTCACGGCCATACTTCTGTTCAAATGGAGAAGTGGGTGATATAAGTTCCCCAATGGTCCGTGATCTTGCTGTAATGAGATTAGCAAACCACAAATGTTTACTCTTTTCAAGCCAAAGAAAAAGAAAGTGTCTGTGCTTGTTACACGCTTAGTGATTACATTTATTACAATATCATACAAATAAACAAGCATGATGCTCTTCTCACACATGTAATTAACTCCAGTGAAACTAATCATAAGATGGCATGAAGCTAATCATGAATAAGGCATGAAGCTAAACAAGTTCTAATTATGGACAGGATTCGTAGAATGATCGTTCCAGAAAATGTTATGAAAAAGAGCTGCAGACAAAATGACGGGATAATTGGGGTAGCATTGTACATCCAGTACACCACTCCATGCAGTAGGATAGCACTATTGCTCTGAAAAGGGTGGTGTTCAGGGAGGGGAGTGCGTACCTGTGTGTGTGTGTCATATGGGGGATGGGAAAAGAAGGGAGGGTAGTGGGAAGGGTAGGAATGAAGTGCTTTGGTTGGATAAGTGTCAAGCAGCAGAAATAGGTGAAGGAAATTCCAACAGAAAAAAAAAAAAAAAAAAAAAAAAAAAGGGGGGGGGGGGGGCCAACAGAA